AATTGAGATGTATAAACCTAACTTTTTGACACAAATTTGTGAATAATTTAGATTTCTATATCAATGTCAATGATTGATACTGAGTATGAGTCGTTGGGATATTTGAGTGCAAGGTCCGCTCTCCTGGAATAAAACCCCACTAAAATTCAGGTTTGGTATCACACACTTAGTATTTGAAATAGCCACAAAGTACCCATGAGATATTTTATTTGGGCATGCCAATAAAACAAAAACTAAGAAATGGAATTGCTGCAGGAAAAGTAAGCAAAGATGAACAGGCATTGAGATCCAAAAAAAAATCCGAAAGTTAAACAAATTATGTCACTATCACACCCCAATCAATGAGAAGAATGTAAAGCAATTTCCACCAAAATATATTATATATTCCAAAAATTTTAATAGATGTAAATGATGATTATAAACAGAAACAAATAATGGAGTAGATGCATTTACAGACACAATTATGCAAAACAAAAGCCATAAGTCTTACTTGCTCGTTAAGAAAATGTGCTGAAACGGAATTCAATGAATAAGAACTCAGTTTATAATCTCGTTGCATGGCCTGCACAGATAAGAGGGAATAGAATGACTTAATCAATATTTTTTATTTATATGACAACTTAATCGAGAACAATTCTTTGATATTCCAATTTTTCATGGGGATAATCACTCGACAAAGCAATGCATTATGGAGAATTTTGGAGGGGCAATAACCAACTTTCCTTTCGAAAATGCAGCTCAGTAAATTTTCACTGCACAAGTCAAAAATAGCCCAATTGTGCAAACCAATACAGCCCCATTTTAGCATATCAAAACTAACCAAGATGTGCAAGTCAAAACGGGTGCCATTAGTAGTACAAATTAGCTGCATAGATGTGCATAAATAAGTTGTATTGACTTACATAAATGGACTGTTTTGTCTGCACAATAAAGCTACCACATTGGCATTTTGAAATTTATGTAGGGTAGTACCTTCCCTCCCATATGACCTGTGATCTACCAGTGTCATTCTTCACATCTAAGTGCTTCGGCCAGTGTTTATCCCATCTCATAAACCAATATCAAGAAATCAAGAGAAATAAGTCCAATAAACAAACCTGAAACAAATCAAATTGCACTCTCCCTTCGACTGTAACTTCTTTACTTTCCCTTGTCCCATATTGTCTGTAAGGCCATAAGTATCAGTCAGTGAATTAGTGCACAAGTTACTTTAAAGTCCACATAAAATTACAAGAGAGAAAATTCTTTACTCATTCTCAGAAGGAACAATTAAAGTGCATTCCATTTCCCCTTTTTTTATAAATACTAATACCACACTAATACTCTTGACTCCTTGCAGACTCAATCTGCAAAATTATTCAATGATTCTGACATCAGAAACATTGTACAAACTTCTTGTCACCCTTTGGCTCTAAGATAAACAGATCAATTGCTTCAAATATACTCCAAATCACAAGACAACCACACTCTTAATAATGAAGCTTTCTTAAGAAGATAAAATTGACCAAAAATTTGCTAAATAAACAGCTCTAGAGGCCCTAGAACGTTCATTTTAATATATTTGCTACAGACATTTGAATTACCCTCACCCAAGCCTTCTTAATATGCCCGCCTATATCCCAAATCACTATGACACCACCAAACTTACAAAAGGATTAAATTTGCAAAGCTAGTGTTGGCCATCAAACACATTCACGTGCAAAATCTATGTGGTCGAGTAAACATAAAGTTAATGATCAAAATTTCATTTCAAAACAGTCGAAACATCTAAAACGTTTTCGTTTCCAAGGAGACCGAAACGAATCAATGATGAAATCGAAATTCTAATATTTTGAGGTATTTCATAATGTTTCAAGATGTCATGTAATATTTCAATGTTTTTGCACAATTGTTTCAGAATGTTTCAAGATGTTTCAAGGTGTTTCAAGATACTTTGATATATTTCGATCAATGTTTTGAAAAAATAATTATGAAATTTTTTATTTTTTTCATTATATTTCCGAAATGGTTGGAACATTTCTGAAACACGCTGACATATTTTGTTTCTTAAGTGACCAAAACAATGCACAGAAACAAAATTTTGATATTTGAAAAAAATAACTTTTATTACTAAGAGAGAAAGAAAGGAACACAAAAAAAAGATAGTTTCAATAAAAAGAGAGCTAGACAAAATACACAAACATTAGCCACAAGTCATAGTCCACTCTTGATGAATAAAGAAAGGAAGGTCTATGAATTTTTTACGAACCACTGCCTACATTGAATTCAACAAGAATTTTACTCTGTAGTCCTTTCCATAGAAATTCCTCATTCTCAGATTTGTCATAAAAAATCCTAACATTTTTTTCCATCCAAAATACACAACAAATAGCAACAATTGCACAATTCCAAAGTATGGAAGCCTTCCTTTCTTTCCAAAGTCACCATAACTCTCCATAAACAAGGAGACAATCTCGTGGACTCATCCAATCATTCTCAATTCCCTAAATAGCTTATTCCACAATTGTAATACGATAGGAAAATGAAGAAACCAATTATCACTATTCTCACCAAAATTTACACTTAATGCACCATTTGGGAGGAAAACATGCATCTGACCTCCTCTTTTGTATCAAATCATAGGGCATTAGTTCTCCTATGAGCAACAAACAATGCAAAAACCTACAACTTAATAGGCATTTTAGCATTCCAAATCATCAAAGATGATCCAAAAATTGATGAACATGGGTCATCAATCGACGATTGAAAGAAACTTTTACAAGAAGGTCCTTGATGAATCAAGAATCCATATTATTTTTTAGAAACCGATGAATACTAAGACAACACAAAAACAATTCAAAAAAAATTTTAATCAATTGAAGTGAATTAATGTGCCACCACTATCTCAAGTCATTTCATCCTACGTTGTTCCCTACTTTGAATTTTTTGTCACAAATGTCCTACAAATATATCAAATCAACAGTCTACAGGTATAACTCTTCCCACTCAATCTTCAATATCAAAAGTCTTTATTTCAGTTTTAATATATAACTTCAAAATTATATCTAAACTCATTCAAGGTTCCTACCAGTTCAATACTTTTTTCATTACCTTTAAAAAAAAAGGGCATTCATAGTTTTGAAGCAAAAAAATGTGGTTGACAAAACCATATCACAAAAATAGCATATGGGCGACTAACGGCCTTAACAACCATAGTCAACAAGTTTGACAACCCTAGTTGAGAATTTCAACATTACCAACTGAGACTTTGGATGAATAAAAAACAAGCAATACTAAAATGGAGTTTGTTATTCAACTTAACTCAACAAAGCTTCTTCCAATATTTTTAGGATCGGGTACATGAATCATGTTTCGTCATTGCACTCTATTAATAGTCATATACTTTCTATCAAACCATAAGTTATAATATCTTTCTTTATTGTTTCATTTAAAGTTAAGTTTCGTCTTTCTCTATCCCTCTGCTTGTCGTCAATAACTACCACATCACTCTTTCTTACTAGTGCTATAGTACACCGTCTACAAATATGTCCAAACCACCTAAGTCGATTCTCTCTTAGTTTATCTCCTATATGTGTCCTAGATATAATCATTCCTAATTCTATCTTTCCCAATTTTATAGCACATTCATTTTAACATTCTCATTTTCGTCATACTCAATTTTTAAACATGTTTTTTAGTTGTCGAACACTCAATACCATAAAGCATAGTAGGTTTTATGGTCATTCTATAGAACTTTTCTTTTAAATTACAGAATATGCGTCTATCACAAAATACACCGGAAATGGCCTTATCATGATTACATCAAACACACTAAAGAGCCCGAGCTCAAGGAAAAAGGAAATCTTAACAAAAGAAAAATAAAGGCATCTTTCAATGAATTGAACTTGGGTGAACTCAATGCATTGAAATCTTAAGTTTGCACTTATTGAAGCTTCATAAATAGGAAGCTTAGAAGACTTAATTGTTATAAAAGCAAGCCAAGAAGTGAGCTAGAAACAATAAGCACAGCTTATGCTCCCTTTGGGAGAAATAATCAAAAGAAAACTTAGGGTATGTTTAGTAACGTTTTTGTTTTCGTATTTTCAAAGGACAAGAAAACTGAGATAATTTTTGTTTTATTTTGTGGTAAACACTGAAAACGAAAAACATATTTGGGAGTGTTTAGGGTGCCAAGATAACCTACTCACTCTCACACACAAAAAAACCAAAGACACACCGAGTCAAAAATCTCTCACTCTTTCTCCCACACACACAAAAATCACACGCACATAAAAATCATGCACACACACGCACAAAAATCACGCACACGCAAGCACAAAAATCATGCGCACACACGCACAAAATTCACACAGAAATCATACACACAGAGACCCAAAAATCACGCCGAAATCACAGAATATAACGAAAAAACAAGGTTTCAAAGTGATAAAAAAATAGGGTTTCACCTGAGATTCTTCACCTAGGTTTCATGGATTCGTTATTCGTCTTCGTCTAGGTTTTTGAGAGAGAGGGGGAGATGAGAGAGTGACGAAAAAAAGAGAAAAGAAAAAGGAAAGCGGTTTTTATAGTAAGCACAAAATAAACCCTCTTTTTGTTGCTAATGGGATTTTGAATGGGGAATCTCATTAACTGAGGCTGTGCACGCACAAGTGTTTTTGGTTATCCTTGTTTCCGAGAACCTTTTTTTTTTGTTCCTTGTTTTTGGGTCTTATTTCCGAAACAACTTATTTTATATAAAACAGAAACACAAACCCAAATACGTTTTTGTTTTTGTTTTACCCAAAAAATGAAAATAAAAATACGAAACACGAAACAAAAATGCGAACCAAACGACCCCTTAGTTTCCCGTCCATTTGTTTAGTTGAGAAAAAGGAAGGATAGATTGATAACATGCCCATTTTACCACTATACATTTGCATATAGAGACAAGCAAGTTGTTTCAAGGAAAACACACGAAAAGACAATCGCTCCCCCATACATTAAACGTACACAAAGACCCTTTATTTTTTATTGTCTTTCACCCCTTGTTGGGGATAGATTTCAGTGCATAGAGGGATGTAATCCGCTTCCCCTTCTGCTTCTTCCCTTCCCCTATCCTTTCTGTCAAAATGGAAAATGTCACCATACCCTTCGCCATTTTTCTTATGACTTTCCCTCCTACATAAGAAGCACTACAATGTCTTCAAGATTTCGCACAAAAAAGTTAGTGGGTGGCCCTTAATGGAGTAGCTCCAATCTTAATTTTCTTAAAAATGAAGGAGAAAGGATAATTAAATTAAAAATATAAAATCAAAATCATAAAGGTTCCTCATTTTTGTTGTATAAAACAATACCAACTACAAGACACCTAAAAATTAAAAAAAACGTAGGTCTCTCAATGTCAAATTGGAAATCTTGCCAATGATTAAAATTCAGCATCAATGTCACATTAATCTCTCCATATGACACAAATCCAACCATCAAAGGAATTTAAGCTATTGGATGAGCCAAAAATACCATTTGAAATGAAAGCAGCAGAGTCACAAGAAGTTACCGACAGTGGCAGCATCAGAATTATTATGTGCTCATTATAGAATTAGGCCATCAGAAGAATAATAAGATATACAACCTTGAAGAAAACGTTGTATCCTTGACACGAACCCTGCTGTTTCTGATGCGGCCCAGTATCGGAAATTCTGATATTCCTAAGACCTCAGCTCTCTGTGACACAGAGAAACATGCCTTCATTTTTTTTCGGAAGGTAGAAACATGCCTTAATTGCTTAAAGGTCAGAAATAAAGCATGAAGTTCTTTATTTTTTTTTTGCACAAAGAAGAATCTTGATGAGATATGAATAAAAAGTTTTTGGAAATAAACAAGCATATAAGTAATGGAGCAGATGGAAAACAAAAAAATCATTCACGAACCTGAATAAGATATGGCAAATCAAATTTGCAGATGTTATATCCAATTATAATATCAGGGTCCACTTCACGCATCAAACCCTGAAAAAATGTTTGACAGTGAAACCAAACTTTGCAGAAATGTGAAGGATATTTTTTAATGCCAAAAGGATACACATGCAACTTATATTGCATGGTCTATGAAAATAGAGCATTCACTGTTTTGTTAAGTCTCCATGCATGAACTGCAAATAAAAGACACTAAAACAAGATTTTGCCACTTCTTCAAAATAGAAATGTGTAACAATCCCACCCTTTCCTCATTCCAATCATATGAATCCGTACACTAAAATATGATCCTGATGAAGGCTGGGGAATAAATAACATAAAAAAAGTAAGCATTGTGGAGAATGAATTGCTAGACTCCATCATACATGACTGTACGTTGGCAAGTCCAGTTAAATAACTCCTATGTGAAAGGTCCCCTAAATTATAGGATTTGAAAGACAGACAAGTACAGTCTATGTTATTGCATCTTCTTTAACCATGTTCTTCTCCAACTATACCCAATTTTATTTACCAGTAACTGAAACGTGGGAATAGCTACGCAAATTAAAATTTGCATTTCTCCCAGATTTCAAAATATTATTGATTAAAAGAAAGTTTAGGCAAGTAAATGAATGATCTAAGGATGCAGTGATCAATAATAGTAAAAGTTTTATGCTAGGTAATTTGGCGCTTATGCTTGCAAGTTATCTTTAAGCATAATAGAATAGGCCACAATCATTACCCTCCAAGCTAGCAAGACTTCTCTTTCAGTGTCAAATGACATCACATCAACACCAACTATTGGAGAGCATGACTTAAGGGTCATCACATTACGAACAAATGGCTGATCTTCACCCTGCAAGGTAACTAGATTTGCCACCTAGAGGATTGAAGTGAGAATTTTATGTAAGCTGCAAAAAAATAACATTACAGTACACCAATAAATAGCTTAATTAATTAAATTAGATTATGTATAGAAACAGAAAGAAAACCTGGATAACAGGATCGTGGGTAGGTTCAGGAAAAAGGCCTTTTCGACCGGCACACTCAATGTCAAAACTCAATATGCGAAATGGAGCCATCTTTGAGAATTCTCCTTCTGGGACATGGCTGATCAATTGGGAATAACTATGAACAATTGTTAAGGTAAGAATTAATTTCCAAAAGAAAAGGACTTCATAACACAAGGTATAGTAGGAGCTTCTATAAACAGATTGCAATTTGCTCTTATCAATGAGGATACAGGCAATCGAACTCTAATTGGGAATACGACAGATTCTTTGCCGTCTTCTTATATTTTCCAGCCGGAACTTCAATCCAATTGCCACCAACAACGTTGCAGTCAATCATGAATCGAAGAGCAAAAAGAACATTACTTTCATATGTCATAAAACTCTTCATTCCAAGACCATCAATCTGTATGCCTCTATCAAGTATACCTGCCAAATTTGCATTAGATAGATTGAAAGCAATAAGAAGCAAACAAACTGATAATGTAAACAAATTCCATGAGACAAAAGAGTATGCCTTCATTATATCCACTCCATCCTTGCATGTTAGTTACTTCCTGAAATCTCAACGTAAGGAGCAGATGCAGCAGAAAACAGAGTAGTTCAAGGCTATCTAACTATAACCTGAGTATGCAAGTAGAATCACTAATGCTGCAAGCATATCTTTAACCTATGGGCCCATATATGAAGCAATATATCCAGTTATTAAGCACATAGGAAACCACCAGAGGTTTCCTACATATTAACCATCTCCAAGATGAGAGAGATAAGCATTTCAAGGAAGCAAAGAACTTTCATTGTGAAATATTAATTCATTCTACCCAACGGTAAGCATAAAGAATCGGAACCTTACCACGGCAGCTAGTGACCATTGTCGGCAGTGCAACAACAATTTTAAGAAATGGCTGAGATCTCTGTTCCTGATAATACATAATGCTTCTTTTTTGAACCATTTCTATGCGGCGAACAAATTTGGGAACCTTACTGTTCCTATTTGTTTCTCTCATTCTCGCCTATAGTAAACACCAAGTGCAATGCATATTAATATTTTGCAGTGAGACAACTGAGTTTTTTCGCCATATTCCAGGATGGAAATGTGCATTAAGCCATCTGAAAAACATAAACATGTAAATCATATACCTCAAGAACTCGATGAAAACGGGAGATATCATCAGGGCCCATTCCTGGAGGGCAGCTTATATAGAAATATGGTTCAAATCCATGGACATGGCAGCAAACGCTATGGCCTAACCAACACCCAATATAACCATTTCTCAGAGTTGCAAGATGCAAATATAGGACAATAAGAGAACCATTAAAGAACTTGTCCTTAAATAAATGTCATTATAAATGCTATCTCTGTATACCACCAAAAAAGACTGATGAACATGCACAACTGTATTACTGGTTAGAAACTTTTGATGCATTACTTATAATTTCACCGCTATTAAAGCAATATGTAGGCAATCCCTTATTCCAGTCAGGGGACTAGACTTGCATATTCAGCATAATGTTTGAGAATAACACTTGCACATATTAAAGCTTTCGGGCGGACATATATTAAAAAATACATTGATGCATCATTTTTGGGCTAGAAAGAAATGTAACATAAAAAACTATTAAAACAAAGGAAATGCATCCATTACTTGTTTTTCCATTAAAAATTCCAGCAAAATTATTGATATTTTTTAGTTGAATAACGAGAATGTGGAAAAAAAAATAATTCAAGTAAAACATTTTAGCTTCCAAATATAGTTACAAATTGAGCTTTTCATAAAAGGCTTAATCTTTTGAATTCGGGCAAAAAGAAACCCCATTTAGATGTTGAACTCGACATGAATGAACTGTTAAGAGGCAAAAGAACACCACCATAAACTTATAACACACATTCGTGTATGCATACCACTATATGTACGCATATATAAGAGAGAGATAGGGGAGGGGAGAGAGCCAACCTTCCCTGGTAACCCCAAAGATCCGGATAATAGCTGCAGCACCAGAAGAATTAGGCATCAATTCCTTATGACTCTCCCCAATAACATAATCAATCTCCAACTGCTGAAAAACTAATACACTCAATTTGAAAAAAAAAAAACCCATTAACTTCAAAACCTCAGAAATCAAACCCATCAAAAAGCCCCCCCAAAAAAAAAAGCAAAAACATTAAATTACTGATGCTCTGGGACTGAGACAGGTAGGCTTGAGATAGCTCGGGTCGTTTCCACTTGCGGAGACGCAAAGAGAGAGCTTGGCGGTCCTCGAGGTCGCGGAGTACCTCTGCCTCTTCCTCGTAGAGAAGGGTTTCGTCGAGGAAGACGTCCTCGTCCATCTCTTCCTCTTCCATGGCGGCATGCTGCTTTTGCTGGGGTAGTTGCGGTGATGGTGCTTGCGGCGTAGGTGGTGGTGGGCGCTTTCTACTCTTCCCGTTGTTCATGGCTGTGAACAATGGAGTGGTGAGGACAGTGTGTGTGCGTGTGTGAAAAGTTGCGAGGAAAGAGAAGAGAGGGGGTTAATTCGATTCCCGCCAATTTTAGGCAGGGTTTCATTGAGGGTGGGGTTGAGTTGGGGCCGGCCAGGAGTTTTTAACCCAGTAAGATTCGAATTTGGCCCTTCAAGTACTGTGAATATTTAAACTTTTAATGCTCTATTTGATAGGTACGAAGAAAAATATAAATGACGGAAATTAGGAGAAATACATATTCTATCGTTTAAGGATAGAAAATAAGAATAATATTTTTTTTTTCTTTGTATTTAGTTGGATGGATGAAAAATAAAAATAATTAATTTTTTTTTAATATTTTTTTGTACTAGCTAAGATTAAGAGTGATAATCGAATCATGTCGTGTCAGATTCGTATTGAGTCATAAATTTATGAGCATTTTATATTTCTTGTTCGCCTGTCAGGTCATTTTTAAATTCGTGTCAAGTTATAATCAAGTTCGTGTCATAAAATTCATGTTGAGTTCAAATCGTATCATCGTGTTGAATCAAAATTTTTACCCCTAATTAAGACAAACAAAATATATTTTTTTATTTTTTTTATTTATATTTTTTTAATTTTTTAAATTTTTTTATAATTTTTTTAAAAAATTATATATAATTACATATTTTATCATTATATTTTTATATGAAATTAATGTATACATAATACATGTATATATCAAAAGATATATAAACAAATAAAATACATTTCAATACAAATAATTAACTTTTCATCCACTTTCCTTTCGATTTTAAAGGGATTGATTTTGATAAGTTGAAAGAAAGTTAATTCATCTACTATTTCATCCTTCTTATTTTCCTTCCTTACTAAACATAATATTTTATTTATCCCTCCAATTTTTCATCATTCTATTTTTTTATCTTACCAAGCAGAGCATAAGTCTTACTCTAGTTATTCGATTCGGATTAAAATTTTTTGGGTCAAAATGGGTCTAATTTGGATTTGATACTTTGTTTGTACAATGGGTTTAAAGTGAAATTAAAGTCACGTTAAATTTTGGTATCAATATAGATTGAAATTATAATTGAGTTTGAATTGAATCTCAAATAACTATACTCTTGTTTATTGTTTGAATTAAGATTAAGTTAAGACTTTTTATTAAATTAGTATTAAAATACTAAAAAAATTTTGATAGAAATACTAAATATGCGAAATTGATCCTGGGCTAAGTTGAAATTAGTGAGTCTAAATGACACAATTAATAGCATGTGTGGGTGAAGTCATATGTGTATGTGTGTGTGATGTATTTGAAGGTGGGGAATAGGAATTCAAATACGGAGAACAAGTACGCTACGTGAATTAGTTTTTAAATGTTGAAATTGACTTTTAAGAATGCTCGGTAAGCTACTTGTAAATAGTCGGATGAGGGAAAAACAAAAAAAAAAAAAAACACAATTTAACAACAATATTGATTGAACCAAATCACAAAAACTGTGCACCCATGCTTTCAACGCTTTGTTGGCACAAAGGAAAGGACACATGATGTCTGCGATCGGAAATGCAGTTGCCATAAAGCTTTTTGATGGAATGCTCTCAGTTGTCATTCACCTTACCATCATTTTATGTTCTGCTTACGATTTTTGAACATTGTCATAATCTCCTAAATTTATTTTTCCACGTTGATCCGGTTATTGAACTGTTTATCAAATTTATTTATTAAAAATCATCGTAAATATTTGGATCGATGGGTTGCATTTTTTTTCCTGGTGGGACCCATTAATCTAATCATCCATATTTATTTGATAAGTAAAATTTGACAAATTACTTAATATGCATATTATTACTGATTGTGTTTTTCATTATTTGTTCTGTCAAACCAAGGGAATTGCAACTTATTTTAAACCTTCACTACAGCTTGGGCAATGTTTAACCAATTCAAAGGAAACCATATTACCAAAATTCAGGTTCAATGTGACTGTTTTTCTACTAGAGAGACATAGATTTTAACGAGATTTCTTGAATAAAAGCTTGGTAAAATCAAAACATCATTTCTTTTATCACTTTACCTTGTATGGAAACTTCCCAAGTTTACAAGCATGTCTAAAATGCTTACCAAGATGAATTAGCATTAGGTTATTTTAGTGATGTCGTGAGTGAATTATCAGACAAACATTCATAATTGTTGAACAAAAAAGGAAAAAAAACTCACTAATATTGTTTGGTATTATTTTTTACATTTTTTTTACTTTTAAGTTGGGTTAATAGAATTTGTGGCCCTTAAAGTGTGCATTTTTTTCAGTTTAATTCTCATTGTATTAATTTTGTCAATTTGATCCCTTAATTGTTCAGTTCGTATCATTTTTGTCCCTAATTAGACAATCCGTCAAATTTTTTGACAATAGTGATCACGTGTCATTTTTTTAAATGGTATCACATGTCCAACACGTGATCATTCCGTCAAAAATTTAACAGTCTGTCTATGTAGGGATTAAAATAACACGAATTGAATACTTTAGGGATTAAATTAACAAAATTGATACAATAAGAACTAAACTAACAAAAAATACATACTTTACGAACCAAAAATACTAGTATTTTTTTCGAGTTTTCGTAGTCTGGGTTTATTGCCTTCCCCAAAATTAATGGCAAGCGTAGTTGCATAGTGATTAAATGATATACATAATTGTCCTTCTTATCTATCTATCTATCTATTATATATGATCAATCTTTTATGTTTCATTTTTCTTCATTGTATATTATAAGTTTTCACTGTTGTTAACAATTCTCTTCAATAAACTATCATAGTGGTCAAGTAATTATGGAGACAAGTTGTTAGTGACTCGATCTCTACTCTCTGACACACATTTTTATACCCAACTTAATTTCTTTGTCTAGTGCCGCTTGATTTGAGATATTTTATGACCATTTATTTAATTCTTATTGGTTTTGAAAATTTTTAGGCTTGGGGTTGTCAAAGCCATTGATGTTATTACTTGCTTATTTTATTATCCAGATAATTTTCTTTTCTCCTTTTTTTTTGGTTTTTGTAAAAATTCGACATATGAATGTTATTTGTATATCATTGATTATGAACTACAATAATGGTTTGAAGCATTTATTGGTTTAGATTCACTAGACACAGAGGTTTCAACTTGTGAGTGGGAAAATGGATTTATACTTGTCATTGTTTAGGAAAGACAATGAAATGATTGTTTACTTTGTTTGAAATGGAGTCACTTGTTGTTGTTTTTTGGGCATCACTTGATCAAAGATCTAATGGATAATCAGAGTTTGGTTTTATTGGTGGAATCTTTTACAAATCACTGATGGCTTAGTATTTGCAACTTGTAGTCTTATTGATCAACTTGGGTCATTAGATCTATGATCATCAAATGTCAACTAGATTTTGACTAGTCCAATAGTTTTTTTATAAACCTTAAACTTAAATCTTTAGTTTTGTTGTCATGTAAATCCAAATCCAAAAACTCGAAGCTAGCTCTGATATATTTGATGAGCCCAGATCCACCTGGGCCTAGGCCCAATTAGTGAGTTAAGGCTAAATAGTTCAAAAGGCAGGTCAACCTCAGTTTACGGCCTCAGCCCAGTCCAAGATTCCAGAGTCCTAAGAGGGTCAACGCACGTGTGAAGTAATCATCAGGATAATCATTACTCGAATATAGCGTCTATCCTTAATTGTAGTTATCCTCCCTAAATGACCAGTAACCTGACATTCACGTCACCGCCTTAACTAGGGCTTTATGCCTGTAAATTGTAAGCCCCCTACACATAGTGGTATCTCACACATCACCTCTTGAGCTTACTCTTGTTCTCTCTCTCTGTCCCTCCCTCTCTCACCTACTACTTTATTCTCCTATTAATAAAGTTTTCTGGTCACCGTTGCTGCCTTTAGTGGTTAGGTTGCCTAGTCCTAACCACCCAATTTTTGTCTTTAACTATTTATCGCTTCATTAATTACTTTGCATCATACACTCGATTGATTTGATTGTGCATAATCAATTTTGTGCATCATTGGCACCATATGTGGAAAACGAATAAAGTTTTCTGCTATCTATCCTTGTTTTCTCCATAGCAATCACTACTAGGTCAATGAATCAACAATAAGAGGATCACAAGCTAGCACGTCGGGAAGAGGTCCTGCCTCCACCTGCAGAATCGTCCACTATGCAAATCCTATGGTCGAATAACAGCTATTGGAGACGATGCAGCTGTTCGTGAGTCAAACTAGCAGATTCTCCAACTGATGCTCGCCTCAGGAAGAGTAATGCCCCAGCCTGCAAGAAGGGAGGCGACATAGCCTGTCCACCCACGGCTCCAAGAAGCCACCTAGCGAGGCGCAACGGTGCCACCATGCAGCGTCCCACATGCTCCGTCCTCACACGTTGCTGAACCTCTAAGGCATGAGGGAGATAACCAATATGTGGACCATGAAAATTACTACAACGATCCGACTGAGGATGTCTAGTTTGGTGACGCCATCAAGGCATGAGCGCCGGAAACAGTGGACTACCTGGTAAGGTGTACTGACACTCTATTTATGGCAGATGTTGTTAACTATCATTTACCCTCAAAATTCAAGATGCCTACTGTAGAGGTCTTTGATGGTACGAAAGATCCCCTCGACCACCTCGACACATACAAGTCCCTCATGCAACTCCATACCGTATATAATAGGATAATTTGCAGAGCTTTTCCTACTATCTTGAAGGGGTCCACACGATAGTAGTTTGCCAAGCTCAAGCCATATTCTATTAACTTTTTTGTTGAATTAAGCAAATCCTTTGTCTCCCATTTCATCAAGGGACGTTGATATCAGAAGTTAGTCACCCACTTGCTCACCATCAAACAAGATCGAGATAAAAGTTTGAAGATCTAACTCACTCGGTTTAATGAGGAGGCCCTCCAAATTGAGGAGCTAGATGACAAAGTTACCATGGCCGCCCTTATTGCAGGTCTGCGTTCATCAATTTTTA